CCCATCCCCACCCCTCCCCCCCTTCCTCCCCTCGATTTCTTTGAGTTCTATGAAGTTCTTGATACCTTGCTTCACAGGACAGCTTTTTATTTTTTTTTAAATATGAAAACTCATATTGTGGAAGTAGGGGTGTAAGATCAGCATCAGAAAATGCTTTGCATAGCATGACAAAGTGGTGAAGTTTTGGCAATGCAGCCTGAAAAGCCAGCTTCCATCTGGAATTGGTAATTTAATTCTTAATTCTCCTCCATTAATTCTGCTTCAGTTCCCTAAATAATCCCTTTGTAGGTCATGTTAACTCTGAGCACATAGCAGTAGACAGAAAACTTTGGTTTGCAACAGATCCTTGTATTCGTGACCGTGTGCCTAGAAGCTTTGGCAATACACAACACCTGCTTTTGTACCTTTGCTGAACTATAGGAAAGTGTAGTTTTTAAGCAAAAATATGGATTTCTTTTTTGTCTGCATTTTACTTCCAGTCTTTTTTATTCAAAGGCCTTGTTTAGAAATGGGACTTGCATTCATGTCATGGAAAGTTACTTTGGTATCTCAACCTGTATATATGTATATTTCTTAATATCTAATTTCTGTATCTACATTCTGAAAAATGTGATGTTAATTCAGATAAATTTCTGTCCACCTTTCAGAAACATGCTGAAAATTATCTATTTTTGGGCTTTCCGTGATTTAATTATCTTGAGTTAAAACATCTTATTAACTAAACCGTGGTGTGTGTGTATATTTGCTATCTCTGCATGTCTTTGTGTAAGACTATAGGAATGAGGCCCAATGGTTCACTGGCTCAGGACATGATTCAAGGAAACTTCTTCCTTTAAGTCTCTGAGGAAAAGGTCTGTGGCAAAAGTCTATGAATGACAAAGTTTGGATCTGAATAATTTTTTTTAGTAGAGATACAATGAGGTATGAAAGCAGAAGTGGGAAATGCTAGCTTTCTGAAGTGATACGCTATGTAACTTCTCTGCTTCAGGTTTAAAGCATGGTACATGTAGGTGTTGGTCTGTGTGGTGAGTGTGTACAGACTATATGTACCTGTGTTCTGCAGAAGCTGCAATGTGAGGTGGTACTGCAGCATGTGTGCAGCACAACATGAGGTGTAGACAGGATATCTTCTGCTCTGCACTGTATAGAATTTGCAAAGCCAAACTCGGGAAAATTCCAAGGAAAGCTTCTTGATGAGCACACCATGAAGACGTCTGTAATAAACGCCGCTACACACACTTCCCTCATCCAAAGAATATCTTGCCTGCTGGGAAGTGACCATATGTGGACATAAGATAACATGACACTTTTTGTGGGCATAAGATGATAACAGTAATTTCTTCTGACTTTCTAATTCCTTACACAACATAGTTAAATGACAAAAGTGGCTGCCTACCATTTCCCTAACTCATGGGCTGTTGCTTTGCAGCTGCTGCTTTCCTCGTGGTGACTGTATCTCAGTGATTTTATGTTCTCAAATACTCATCAAAGATTTTTAGACTAAAACACGCAAATATGTGTGAAGCACTTAGCACGTCTTCAGTGGCAGGTGCCACTGTACTGCAATCTTTCTAAGCTTGGTGCACTTTTCCAAGTGTACTCTTAAGTACAGTACACTTTGAATTGTAAATTTCCTATGAGCTTATTTTCAAAAGAGCTGTGCTATGAACTTACATGCAAATTCTAGCTCGTAATTGAAAACACACTACAAACAGGATGTCAGTGTAATTTAGATTTTGGATGATTATCAGATAAGTTTAATCCAAAAGGGAAATGATATCTAGGTATGAAAGGAAGCACTATTAACTAGTGAGCAGGTGGACTATTCTTGTTCGCCTTCCTGTACTAGTAGGGAATATACATAATTGAAAGTCTTAGCATTGTATGCATTACAGTTGAAAGCTGTTCTTGTTCCTTTCAAGGTTTTATTGATTCACAGCTGAGTGAAAACTTATAGCTGATGTTTAACCAACTAGCCTTTGGTACTTTTCTTTTCCTGGCTAAAAAGTAAATAATATAGGTATAAAGATTTGTTCCAAAGAAGTGTTTTTTACTGTCAGTTGGTGCCAAAAACACATTTTTAACATGCAATGTTAATATAGAAAATATAGAAAAGGTACAAACATTTCGCTAGTTTGGTAAATTAAGCTTTCATTAGTGGGTAAAATGTTATATTTCTACTGGTAGAAGGAAGGGTAAAGTCTATGAAAAACACATTTCTTTAGGAGGAAGGAGGCAGGAAGGGGGCCCTCAGTGTAATTATCCTGGATTAGCTAGCCAGCCTAGCACAGGCAAGGTCAAAACCTAAAGCTGAGTACTGCCTCTGTTCACTGAATGGTTCTTGCTTTCCTGCATGTGCTTTGACAGGTGAGAAATCCTGCTGAACTTGGGCAATGTTAAGCCATTGATTATGGCTGACAAGTTTCTCTGAGACTGCTACATAAGCGTTTGTTGCAAGGCTCTGTGCTTGTTTTAGACCCAATGCAATAGGTTACACCCTGATTTCTTGCGACCCTCCAAGTACAGCAAGAACTTCTCAAACTGTATAGAGCTCTCTGAGGTGAGGTCAAGTGTAAGTCAGTGCCCTGCTGTGTGTGGTAGCTTGAATGAGAAGACCAGAAAAACTGTTTTGGAAAAAAATGAATTGTTAGTTATTTATCACCTGAGCAATGCAGCACAACTTTATGCAGGAAATGCAAATGGATTAATTATCATAGACAACCCCTTCTGCAATGGGACAGTGGAAATCTGTTTTGCATGCCTAGCATAAGGTCCTTACCCTGTCCATTTGTATTCCCTATGGTGGCTCAGAGCCATTCATTAATGTGTGTTTAGGAGTTTGTGAAGAGTTGGTGGTCTTGGTGCCAGGAAAGACAATGTTGAGCAGAACAGAGTTGGCCTAAGTTCAGCTGCACTTGAAAAACGGGCAATCAGTATTTGCCTAACTCAAGTTGCCAAACTGGGGCCTGGGTTTTGAAAAGTTAATTACAGGGTGTGCTGTACATAGAGGCATTTAAGAGTTGAATCAGACATAAAAAGAGGAGACATTTAAGTCTCTTCCCAAAGGAAATAGTGACTATAAAACCTAAAGTCACTTCTCTGTCTTGGCAGGAAAAGGAATACTTAAATTTTGAAGCTGGAATTTGGAGGGAGCGATCTTTGCAGGCCGCGACATACTTTGTTACCAGCACAACATGACTTGCACTTCTTTCCCCACCCTCTTTCCCTCTGTTTCAGGCAGAGGAAGATATTTTTCTGCAGCTTATTTTTCTGTAGTTTATCAGATGACCCGAAAATGTACTCTTAAAATAGACTGCCAGTTTGCTAGTTCAGTTTCTCTGATGGGTGTCTCATCTCACCTGCTGTTTGTTGGTCAAAACTTAAAACTGGCACTTTGTAAAACAGTGGTGACTTTACAGCTTTTAAGGCACTGCAACTACATGGTGTTATAAAAGGCCCTGTTAGGCAATGATTATTGGTGAGGTGATGGGGAAGATACACTACCAAAATATGTAATGGTATGGTAGTAACTCTCTGCTTTCCTGGATGTCTGGATGATCTGTGGGTGTCCTGTGCAGTTTTCTGTACTTTTGTGACACTTAAGAGATTTCCTGCTTAATGTAATGGGGAAAATACTGACTCTTAAAATGGATACATACCTCTCTGACAGCTCAGCAGATTCTTACTGTTTTAGCAGGACCTTGGACGGGGAGCAATTTTCACCCTTTGATTTCCTCTTTACATGGCTGTAGGAAATTAAAACCATGCATCCCACTTCTTGACAGTTCCAGATATTTCTCCAACATTGTACTTGTGCCTTCTGACTTTGTCCAAATACTCTTAAAACACTGCTATGTTTTTTCCACTCTTACAGCAGAAGCTGAAAACGATTTTGAGGGAATCGAGAGCAAGTTTTCTTTACGGACGCCTGCAGAGCCTGATGAGGATGTCTGCTACCTTGTTCCCGGGCAGGTGAACAGCCTGGCACAGTGCAACTTCAATCATACCAGTAAAACCTTTGTGGTGATCCATGGGTGGACGGTAAGATGAAATGGGAGGAATCTCCCTTTTAACCATACTCCCAATGAACTGTGCAGAAGTGTCTCACAGATATATTAATACATCTCCTATTTTAATTAAAATCACCAAAACCAACAGGTGACAGGGATGTATGAAAGTTGGGTCCCGAAGCTGGTGGATGCTCTGTACAAGAGGGAGCCTGACTCAAACGTCATTGTGGTGGACTGGCTGGTTCGAGCTCAGCAGCACTATCCGGTGTCTGCTGCATACACCAGGCTGGTGGGAAAGGATGTTGCTACATTTATTGACTGGTTGGAGGTAAGACATGGAGACTTGTCTCACATCCTACATAATGTCATAGAAGACAAAACAGCAATTATGCAGCTGTGTTAATCATCTCCTGTTGGGAAGATGGAGTTAAACTCTTGCAGAAAGGTTTGCTGGACTGGTAAAATTCCAGCACTGGTTTACTGACTATTTCCTATTCAGAGGCCTTTAGTACTGCATTCTTGTGGTCTTTTGTACTTTACCTTGTGGTCTGTGGGGTCCTGTGGGCCCAGAGTATTTCTGAGGGCTCTGTGAGAGATAGCTATGAAAGACGGATTCCTATATATTATTCTGCAGCCAGCCCTTGGCAATCAGAAATGTGCCCTGCCTTAGGAAATCCAGAAACTGGTGGGGAGAGAGTGGCTGAAAACTTTTATAAAATAAACAGCCTTGTGTTCTGTACTTTATTTTGCATTCCTCTAAGCTTAGATTTTGGCCATAAATTAGTTAGATCAAGAAATTTACAATGGCACAAAATTATGATAGCTGTATAGTGTTTCTTCTATTATTCGTGGCTCAAACAAAAATCCCAGTATTAACAAAACATTTTATTTTGTGTCTTCTGATGTTTTTGTGTTTGGTTTTGAACTTTAAACAAATTGTTCTCTTCTGCAGGAGAAATTCAATTATCCTCTCAACAATCTCCACTTGCTGGGGTACAGCCTAGGTGCCCATGCTGCTGGGATTGCTGGGAACCTGACCAAAAAGAAGGTGAACAGAATTACTGGTAAGTAAACCTGTGACTGCAGAGTGAAGAGTTGCATCTCTTCCACACTGAAATACTATGTTCCACTGAAAAATCACCACAATAATTGTTGCTTGCCAGCAGTACTTTGGTTATGTATTCATGATTTAATGAAACAGCAGGGCTGATATGTCTGGGGTAGAACTGTAAAAAGATTCAGAAAATGACAACAAAGATGGTGAGTGCCTTTAATTGCTTCTCTACAAGAAATGAGTGAATAGGCCCTGATAAAAGAGTAGTTTGCAGGGTTGTGGTGGGGACTGATCAAACCATGCCATTGAGAAGGTCAAGTATCTCTTACAGCATGAGAAATTCAGTGGGTTGTCTTTATGTAGGCAGTCATTCCTTACAGCTGATGGGAGCCATTGAAACAGAACAGGAAGTAAATTCTGCTGCAGCAGGTTTAGTATCTGCAGATACTAAAGGATTTAGAACTCTTTGCCATGGGATGATGCAGATGCAAGAAGTTTATATGGGCTCAAACGGAGACTGGACAGATAACTGGAAGAGATCCAGTGTGGATTATTACAAAGTTAATCATAACAGGCTCAAGAAATATTCTAGGCTGGAAATAATACTGTGAAAATTTGGGGAAGACGTATACTTGCCCTGTTGCTCTGTCTGCTTAGATGTCTGTTTAAGGTGATTTTTGGAGCCTAAAAAAATCTGCTAGACAAGGCAGAGTGCCTGGCCACTCTGGGGCTGGTTTACAACCCAGCACCTGGAGGGCTGAGCCCCTAGCACTGATCTCAGTGACAAAGGAATTGCCAGCATCAGCAAATGAAGCCAAGAAAATTGCTCATCTGTGATGTCTTTGTTGCTGAGAGATTGGGAGTATCATTCAGAAGGGTACCCTTTACTCTTTCACCCGAGCCTGGCTGTGATCCCAAATCCACAGGCATGCTGAGAGGTGGGCTAGGCAGTAGTCCTATCTGGAAAGGTTGAGTCCTGAGAGGTGGCAGATTAAAGTCAGGAGGCCAAAGCTCTAGTCTCTCCGCCCTTTCTCTAAGTTGTATCTTTGCTGCTTTCACTGAGGCTGCCAAATCACTGACATGTCAGTAGCCCTCTGTTATGCCTCCGCAGTTGCTCCTGGTGCTGAGGTGAACCTTTCCTGGGAAAAGCATAGGGAGCAACATAATGTGGCCCCTGAAGCCCTTACAGCTGAGGGGAAGGCAGCTCAGACCAAGTGGAGCTAGCTGTGGGTGAACACCACAGGTGCCTGTCCCCAGCTGAGGGCTGCAGAAAAGATGTGTCCTTTCAGCCATCTCTCAGGTAGTTGTCTGCACAGGTGATAGTTCTTGTTCCCTGGCAAAATGTTTTGTTTTCTTTTTGATGTTAGTGTTGCTGCAGCTTGGCAGTTTACCTTAGTGATCCACCTCCCCTTAGGTGTTAAGACAGTGAAGCCCTCATTTATGTTTCTCACTTACTCCCCTGGCATGGGGTTGTCAGCAAGACTTTTCCATACTTCAGACATTTCAGATACAAGTTCTTGACAAGAGAGGAAAACATTGAGAAAATACTTAGGATCTTGTTTCTTTCATCCACTGGAAATGCTACAGCTCTGAGGAAGTTAGCTGGGTTTCCTTCCATGTGTTTGCATACACTTTTATTTTTTTAAATGGTGACAGCATTTCAAGCTAGTACATTTGATTCTCCTGTATCCATTGATGTTATTTAAATGATCCATCTGTAATGTCTACAGGAATACTCAATATTCCAGCCCAGTGTGGCACCTGAGCTTGGCATTTGTCGTCAACGTCAGTATCTTTGGCAGACAATAATACCAGTTTTTCTTTATGGTTTACCCCATAAAGGGCTGGATCCTGCTGGTCCTACCTTTGAGTATGCGGATGAACTGACCCGCCTCTCCCCGGATGATGCTGAGTTTGTGGATGTCCTACACACCTACACCAGAGGCTCTCCAGACCGCAGCATTGGGATCCAGAAGCCTGTTGGACACATTGATATTTATCCCAATGGTGGAGGTTTCCAGCCAGGTTGCAATCTGGGAGAAGCACTGCGTCTGATTGCTGAGAAAGGCTTTGGAGGTGAGATTGCTCTGAAACAAACACTCTGAGGGAAACCTGAATAGCCCTGCAAGGTGTCTTGCAAGGAAAGATCTCTGACAGGCACAGGAATATATTCTTTGAAGTGCTTTTAAAAGTCATCATGTGAAGCCCAGCTCTGCCATAGTCGATAATGCCTGTTGACAGCATTGCTTAGGGGTTTATATCATTATATGTACATGTATATTTAATTACATATATATTAGTGTGTGTGTGTATATGTACATGTGTACATATAAAAGCATTGAATGCTTGAAAAGCATTTTCGTTCTTTCAAGATGTGGATCAGCTGGTGAAATGCTCCCATGAACGATCCATCCACCTCTTCATTGACTCTCTCCTCAATGAAGAAAAGCCCAGCATGGCCTATCGCTGTAACACAAAGGAGGCCTTTGAGAAGGGCCTCTGCCTGAGCTGCCGCAAGAACCGCTGCAACAATTTGGGTTACAAGGTCAACAGAGTGAGAACAAAGAGAAACACCAAAATGTATCTGAAAACCCGTGCTCAGATGCCCTATAAAGGTAGGCACTCCTTGCTTGCTGGTGAGCAAGAATGGTACTTGTGCTCAGCTGTGTGTCACAGTGGGCATGTGCTGCAGATGGAAATATTGCTGCTTTGGTGCCTGCGGTGAGCAGGGATGAAGCTGGCCTGTAGTTTGCCACTCATTTCAAGTCTCGGAGAAAAGTGTTGTCTTACTCAGGGTGTGGGGTAGAGTACAAAAAGAAAGGTATTTTGTAATGAGTTTCTAAGTACCAAAAGTTAGGCTGCCTCTGTTGCCAAATCACTTGGAACTTTTGCAGTGTTTTTCATCCAAATGATTAATTACTTCTGCTGGGGAAATAATCAGAAGAACTCACTCTGGTGAGCACCTTATTTAAAGATATGCAAGCATCAGATTTGTGCCTTTGGTGGTGCACTTGCTAGAGGAGCACAGCCCTCATTATAATATCACAGCACTTCTCAGTTCCATTTGCTGCTGTGGGTGGTCTGAGAAGGACAATGCCGGACAAAACTGGGAGGCTTTCAGCCAGGAAAATAGCATTGGATTTTACTACTTTATTTTCCTCCTTAGCTTTGCCTGTACCCCATGGTATGCTTATAGTGTGCATTATGTGGTGGACCAGCAATCAAACAGCACATTCCTTCACTGTTAGAGCAGCTGCAAGACTGGCATTCTGCTGACAGTTGGTGCTTAATCTGCAGTGTCAGTGGGTTGATTTTTTCTTTTTCTTTTTACCAAGCCTCCTTTAAGAGAAGGGCACAGCTCACTTGTTTCAAGTCACGTATAGCAGGCCTTACATGTTCAGTAGCAGGTTTGAAGGTGATACTGCATATTCTGAGGTTATTATAGTGGCAGCCTGAGTGCAGAATTTAGCTGCAAGAACTGCAAAGGTGTTCTTTAATGGTGATTAATTGCCTTTAATTAATTGTCTTTAATTGCCTTGCTTGGTAATACTTACGTTCTCAAAAAAATAATTCCCTGGACACCTGCAGGGAAATAAAACTCATTTCAGTGAAGTTGGCATATTCCAGCCTAGGATTTTGAGAGGTGAGACAGGGTGTTTTTGTCACCAGCTGTGTCTTTGGAGGTTGAATTTTTTCTAATGGCATTTTCTTTTGTATTCTTTCAGTCTTTCATTACCAAGTCAAGATCCATTTCTTTGGAAAGACTAACGTGACCAAGACAAACCAGCCATTCCTGATCTCTCTCTATGGCAAGCTAGATGAAAGTGAGAACATTGCTTTCACACTGTGAGTAGCTACAGAAACAACTGCAAAGTACTGCTGAGTTTACCTAAATTTGTTAAAGTCTCGACTGAAAAAGTTGTTCTGGCTCCAGCTACAGTGATCTTACAGGGTCCCAGAGTCTGCTCTTGTCCTTGATCAAGGAGTTGTATTCACTTCTGAAGCTAATGAACCAAACCCTACAGGAGCTCTTTTTGATAAGACATCTGAAATATGGAAACGTGAAGTCTGACCCGTGACTCAGCCTAATAAGAGTTTTTCCAGTGTTTTCTTATTTTCTTCTCAGTATTTTATATCATGTTAAATATTTAAGGTAAACATATGCATCTGAAGATCTCAGTGCAGAAGCTGAGGGAGAACTGGGATTTGCTTTCACTGCTCTGCAAATAAGCAGAAGTTTGTGTGTACATACCTAGATACAGGCAGGCAGGGAATGGAGCTCGAAAACACTAGTTTTCTGCTCTGAGGAATGTAAACTGTTCATGGGTGGTGGTTGTCTGGCTTTTCTGAGAGTCACCAGCACAGAAGAGGACAACCCTTGCCTGGTACACTGTCCCAGAATTTTACCAGCCTTGTTACAGAAGGATGTTCCATTTGCCTCTACAAAAGGTAGAGGTGTTTTCTTTTTTAACTTGCTTCCGTCAGAAGTTTTTCCTTCATCCATCAGATGTTATTTTTTCCCTTCATCCATCAGAACTATGCAGAATTGCTTCCTTCTCTGGAATACAAAAATTACAGGTTCTATTGCTCCTAAATCTTCTTTGTCTCTCCAAGAATTTCAGGCGGTATTTTATTTTATTTTCCTGATTTACACAGAAGTAGATATTGGAGACCTGCTTATGCTGAAGCTGCAGTGGGAAAAGGACACATTCTTCAGCTGGTCAGACTGGTGGACTCCTTTTACGTTTGACATCCAGAGAATCAGAGTGAAGTCAGGAGAAACTCAGAAAAAGTAACTTGTTTTGATTGTTGTATGCTATATTAGTTCTTGACAGTACTTCCTGATTTCTGGTATCTCACAGGCTGGGACAGTCATGTTAAGCAGTTACAAATAGGTGCAGTATAATGATAATCAGGGCTCCAGTGGTATCAAACTACCATTTAGATCAGCCAGGTTCAGTAGTTTACTTCTACTGGTATCTGCAGTTTGTAATCTTACTCCTGCATACTTAATTTGTATCCCACTATTGTATCTACTTAAGGTTAGTTATAATATGCAGGAGAGTATCTCCGCGAACCAGCAACAGTGACTGTGTTTGCAGTTTCTGTCCTTTTTCATGCTAGGTATTTGCATAGGTTTTGTCACAAAGAACATGCTTAGATGGAGATTTTTAGAAATCCTGCCAAAAGTATGTTTGCACAAGAAATTATTGCTTAGTTAAGTTGGATTTTCTTAGGGGTTGAATACCTGAATGGTGGATGAAAACTGAAACACGTGACTATTGCAGGACATTGCTAATGCATGAATGTTGAAACATCAAAGTCTGAACAGAAGTGCTTTGACATGAATCTTTTGAAATACTCATATTCACTAAACATGAGATCTGTTTGCAGAACATGGGCCCAGAACAGAGTATGTGTGTTCTATGTATAGTAAATAATAATAAGTTCCTTCTTTGAATAAACAGGTCAGTCACTTGATCAAAGAACAGTTATCAGAGCTGAACAAATATAGGCGTGGGGAAAGTACTGATAGATAGAAAAGCAAGTGCTCGTTTTCTGCAAATTGCAACCTAGCTCATTTGCAAACATTTGGGGGAGTATGGCTTTCTTCCAAGTTCATTCACCTGACAAAAACCTCATGTAAAGACTGGTGTAAATAAAGATCCAAGAGATTTTGGGATAGAACTTCTGCTGTCTCAGCCACAATAGTTTTTTGCAAAGGATAAGTTAAAGTTATGGCTACGCTTTGATGTGCATGTATAATTCATTTACCAGTTTCTTTTGTTACAGAATTCTCTTTTAAAAATAACTTTCTCACAGGCCTGTAAAGTAGCAGTGCCCTACATGACAAAGTCTAAAGATTGTTTCCAAGCACCAATCTTCTTTCTATGATTAAAAAGGGATGTTTGGCTCAGTCATGTGATTTTTCCAATATTTATTCCACAGAGTGGTGTTCTGTTCTCGAGATGGCACCTCACGTCTCAGTAAGGGAGAAGAGGCAGCAATATTTGTGAAATGCTCAGAGCAGCCCGTCAACAGGAAGAGAGGAGGGTATGAGTAATCAGTATTGGTTTTAGATAATTTCCCTTTAATTGACTTGTGCACTAGTTTTCTCAAGGCTTCAGAAGCATTACAGCTCAGACTAATCAGAGGTTTGCTTGTGGCCACTTTAGCAGCTTAAGAGCTGTTAGCTTGCTTCTCTGTTAACCATCCTTGTGTGATTGTCAGGATATCTGAGGAATGCGTGCTAGTCACTGCCTCTCCCAGTCACTCGGAGGCCAAGTATGATGGACTGTTAGAGAGACAGGGCACTAGCACAAAGAGGAAAGCATGTCTGTCTCAAGATTCCTTACACTTACCCTTAGCTGTAGGACATTCAAACCTCCATACTGGGTCAGCTCAGAGCTCTCCCTCCTTACTGGCCAGCAGCAGATTTGGAGGCTGGTACAGGAATGGAGCAGGCATGTGAAGGTGCTCTTCTCAGCACACTGCTTTCTGATGTCAATCATCAGGTGGGTGAATTCCTGAGATTTTCATCTCTATGGATCAGAGATTCTGCCTTTGTTTAATAGCCCTTTGTTGCACTTTAATTTATTTATCGATAATTTTCCTGACCCAGATTAGATGTGGGGACAGTCTTTGGACTTTACCCAGTAAAGTTTGAGATAGAGAAGTGGTTATATTTATTTTAGTTCGGTTTCTGTGTGTGAATGGTCTGATGGGGACACTTCTGGACTGAGATCTAGCTCTGTATAAAAATGCACATGTGCTGGCTGTTACTCTGGGGCAATGACCTGGACTGGCCTTGAGACCTCTGTGTGTATATCTGACATAAAATCAAGCAGAAGCCAGGAGAAGCCCAAGCATGTAATTTATCTTCCTGTTAAGTAGGGAGTTTTAAGATTGTAATTCTCAAAAATAAGACAAGAGGGGAAAAAGTATCTTACATCTTCCTCACCACCTTTATATGTTATTTTTTTCTCCACAGTACCAAGAAAGCCTCAAAAGAAAATTCTGCTCATGAATCTGCTTAAGTGACAAGAACAAAGATTTTTCACACTGGGGAGGAGAAGAGTCTGTTCATCCCTGTGGACTGGATGTTCAGAACCAAATATATAGAAATATTTATCCGCTGCTGGATTTTTGCCTGCTATTCCTAGCTATTTTAGAGACTTCTTGTAAAAAAGTCTCAGCATATGAAGTTACTAACCATAAAGATACATTATCCAAATAGTTTAAAAAAAAAAGAAACCTGAAAAACAACTTGCCAAAGTTTGGAGTGCTGAAAAGACATATGTAATTTTGCTTAATCATGGTCCCTTGTGACAAGGTTTCTTGACATCAGATCCTATACAGCAATTTTTTAATATTTATTGAAAAGAAACAAAGCCCTGTACTTGATTTTATTTTTATTGTTGTTTTTGTTTTGTTTGGTTTTGGGATACTTTTTGGTTAGTTGTTTTTTTTGTTCTTTTCAGGAGTCATTTGAAACTATAGATGGATTTTTTTTTGTCTTGGCTAACTGAATTTTCAGGCAGTTCAGTGGAGAGAGTTCATAATTTTCAAGTGTGTGTTTAGCAAGTAAGTAGGTTTCCTATGTGAAAAAAAACCCCACCTTTGCTGTGTGTAATACTAGAAGGTGTCAGGGACTGACTTAATATGGGGATGAATTTTTTTAGTTTGTGGTTATGAATGTATTTAATTGGGGGTAGATGCCAGTGCTGCTTAGGAATAGGTATGATCTGTTAAGCTATATATCTATGTCGCTTACCCTGGAATAAATAACAGCTGTAGGAGAAGGTAGCAATGCCAGTGTCTTATGCAGACATTTAATATTTTATCTGTGCTTTCAGTTATTGCAAGTGAAACTGTCTAGCCTTCAACACTGTGAAAATGGAGCTGCAGAGGAATTGAGATACCAGAAAATGCAGGAAACAGATACTTCCCCCACTCTCCACCCTCTCCCTGCTTGCTTGCGTCATGTATGCCAAAACTGTCACAGTTTCTCTGCTCTTTGACACCAAGTGTCAGTCATGCAACTGAGTGGCTGCTGTATGCAGTTTTCAGTGCGAGTGAATCCACTTGATAGCTGATAAGGATGCTCATACTTCCCTGTACTGGAATTGTGACTGCCAGTGATCCACCAGTTTGTTTCTTGGCTGTGGTACAGTGCTAGGAGCTGCTTAGTTTTCTGCCATGAGATGGAATTCAGCAGGAAGCAGGAGCTGAGCCAATTAAAAGCAGCCTGGTTGTGTGCTCCACAAGGAGTGCTCTGAAAAACACTCAAATTAGCCACGCTGCAAGTTTAAAAAAGTAGGTATATTGAAGGCAGTCTGCTTCCCCATTTTTAAGTAACATATAATTTTTCTAGTGTGCTGAAAGGTGCAATACCCTCTTTTAACTTTCTAGAGGGTAAACAAAATGCTAGGAGGTACAAGGGCTTGAAGGTAGACATTTGGAGACGTGTAATGTTAGCTATTGATGCTGGGTATTGTCTTTTCCTGGATGTGCAAGACAGCATGGAGATGGTGATTTCTCCAATATCATCCCATCTTAAAAGCAAAAAAAAAACCTATGTGTTTATGTGCACAATTTGTTTCCTATTTCCAACTGTAGCTGCTAGTATATTTGGGGATAAAAGTCTTAAACAGTGCAATATGTTGGAATATTAATAACTCTGAATTTGCTCACATTTGATTTCATGTTTGATTAAACTACAGCAGAGATGTGATGAGTCACTGAGGGTGGGGTTTTGTATTGAGCCACTGCATCTGAGACCTCTAAAAATAAATACAGTGATTTATTCCCTATAGATTCCATATTTTGTTGCAATTTTCTCTTAAAAGTTCAATTCTTCAGAAGCAAAGTATCTGGACAGCTGTGCCCTTAATACAGGATCAAATACAAACACATTTAGAATTTGGATACAAAATAGTGAAGGTTCTTTTCATAAGGAAACATGATTTAGCTTTGGGTGTTATTTATTAGCTGTAAATAAGATATTTATGAGTGTAAAGGTAGTTTGTATATATTGCTAAAGTTACTAACAGTCTCTACATTAATACAGTTGTGTAGTATTAATCATGTATATAGCTTTCAGAGATTTTTATCAACAAGCCACTTACACATTGTTTTCTATGTCGTTAATACGATTTTTTTTTTTTTTTTTTTAGAAATCTCCTCAGTTTTGTATAGAACAGAAACCTATGGTTTTAATAAAATTCTCAAACTGAATCTGAAGTCACTACTTTCCTTTTGGTGAAACCATCTGCTGTATACCTTTTAAGTGAAGGCCAGAGCCTATCTTTAAATTCTGGGCTGAAAAGATGGAGTGAGACACTAGTGAAAAAAGGCAATGTATGATTTTTCCACTGTTCTTTCCCATTTCATTTTGGGAAATGCAAAACTCATGTGTTAAGACATGAAGGAATCACTGTGTGGAAGAAAGTATCCCACATCATAAAAGAAGTAGCTTTTCACCTGCAGTTTGTGGTTTTCAAGTTTCAGGCCTTTTTAAGAACAGTTGAAGAACTGTCCTTATTTTGAAAGGCTCATTCCCTTTTCTCCTCTCTCCTCGCAGGTGTCAGAACTATGCTTCCACATTTTACCAAAGCAGAGATGTTCTGACCCTGTGGGTGCAGGAGGAAAGCACCAGTCCCTTACCACCACTATTGCTTAAGGAAGTAACCATGAAAAACCACTTTCAACCATTTGTTATGAGTGCAGCTAAGCTGAAGAATGGTTGTCACCAGAACAGTTTGCTCCATCACACACAGCAAGGCTCCACACAGGCAATGGAGGGGGATTGCTGGAATTAAGGACAGTTGTGGGATCATATTAGAGGTAATTAATTAGAGCAGTTCTCAGTTGACCTGGGAAACTTTGCCTCCTGAAATCTTCCTTGGTGAAAGATGACTGCTCTTTGACAAGAGCAGCTTCATTCCTTGTGAAAGCAGAGGGAAGCTGTGCTATGGAAAATGGATGGTTGAAGAGGATGAAGGTGCGGGAAGGGAAGGTGCAGAAAGGTGCGGAAAGGAAAGGTGCGGAAAGGTGTGGAAGGGTGCGGAAAGGCAAGGCAAGGCCCAATCTGCAGACTGGAATGCTTGGAAAGGGGGAGCTCTAAGGACATTGCTTATCCCCTGTGTCAGTGTCTGGGTTAGGGGACTAGAAGGACTCACATTTGTACAAGACATGGCTTAGGACCACATCTTCTAAAAACAGCATGGTATAACTATTCTTTCAGCATCATAGCAGCCTCAATACACTAAAAGTGTTCTTAGGTGTAGCAGAGAAATAGTTTTTGATGGAGGGACAAGAATTCAGATGTCTCCTGTGAGCCTTTAGAATTAATCCTGGGCCCCAATACTCTTGCATGTTGCTCTGCAATGCCCAGCCACATCAGAAAAGGTGATGATCCCTGCTTACCCTGCCACTGTCTCTGGAATAGAGCACAAATAGACTGTCCAGCAGTCAATCGGTGGGTGGACAGACAGAGATTTTCTTGGCTGGAAGGAAAGAGGGAAGAAAAAGGATTTTAGCCAGTGTACCTGTCAGATTAGGAAATCCTGACTCGGGTTTCTAATGCCTAGATTTTAATTTTCATATTTAATTCTGAGAAATTTTTGGAACCAGCAATGGCTTTGATCTCCATAGATGTCTCCATACTTTCTCCATTCAGATATAGTTGTGTGCCTGCTCTTTTGTGTATTAAGAACAAAATGTCAAAGCTTGCTGCTTGGGATGAACAAGACATTGTGCATGTGTTGTTTCTAAAGGTCAAAAACCAGATATTGAAAAAAGAGTTTATGTAAGAGGGAAGAATGAAACTAGCTGTTGTATTATCCTTTTTATTTACAGCTGTCAGTGCAAAGTTCTCCATATTCTGACTGTCAATACAAACATAGCAGTAATCCTCAGGAAAGACATTTCCATCTCCTCCTGCTGCATCTTTCCAGAAAAGTCATCTAGTCAAATGTCTTTTGTGGCAGGTCTGGAAAGTCACCAGTTTACGTATAAGCGAATAAAGGGATTAGCATTCTCCAGTGGCTGAAGGAGGACAAGGAAATGAGAAGAGGAAGGGAAGGGAACCATTTGGCAGAACATCCCATATAAAGCTTGTCTTAACAATGCTTTTATATCCGTGTGTGGTGCTATCTCTGCTCAGCAACACTCAGAATGCTTCCCTAAAACAGTTCAAGTTAACTCAGACAGAACAATGCATTCACATCAGAAATGCAGATGCTAAATGGGGACCACTTGGGATGTAGCAGGTTAACACCTGGGGGTTAGTGGGGGTGCAGTGCATTTTCAATGACATAATCTCCCAACCATTCATGTCAGATAAACACCATGTTCTTCATTGTAGGCCCTTCCTGTAGGAAGTGACCCAATATCACCAGTCCCACTTCTTGCCAATGACACTGGAGAGTACCTGCTGCTGTGCATCACCCCACCATGTAGAACCATTCACTGAGAAGTAAGACAGCCTGTCTGGCCATGGGTCACTACTGTCCTCAAAAGAGCCAGGAAGTGAGGGCATGTTTCATACTGTTCCACCTACCAAAGGCTTTTTTACCCACAATTAGCTGTAAACCTGGAATAAACTCTAAATAGTGAAAGAAGGACACTCCAAATACAGAAATTAGGAGCAGTAGGAACAGATTCCTGTGCTAGAACAGGTCAAAAAGATGCTAAGAATATTCACACTTTTTCAAAAGAAACATTGGGAAAAAAAAAATACTTCTGAAGTTTTGCTTGCCTCAGGTCCTCAGGCTTTGGTCAGCCCTCGTTTTTTTCCTCTGGCAGGCTTCATTCAGGAGCTTTTGAGGTTATTTTTGCTCCCATAGCCTGAAAAATTAGAAAAATTAAAAAACCACCTTTGGAGTCACTTCTAATCTTTTGGATTAGAAATCTTTCCCATGGGTAACTGTTTGTAAGGAAGGGGCTGCCAGTCCTGCGCTTCTGGTGAAAGGGCCAACCATGCCTTCAGTGAGAGACACAATCAAAACTCCACTGAGACTAGGAAAAATATTTTCATTGACATTGTGGAATTCTGAATGCTTTTCTAGCACCTGCCACAAGATCCCAGATTTAAAATTAAAGCACAGCTCAAACTTACTTGTCTTTGATACTCTTCTGCAGTGTTTCCAAACTGAGTGCATATAATGTCAGGTCATGATCTGCTCAGTACTAGGTTAAATATTGGCTCTGGATGACTTCTCACAAATAATGCCAGAATTTCTTGGCATTTCTTTCTCCCATATTTCTGGGACACCAGAACAAACCGCATAATTGCAGTGATGTCAACAGCACCCAATAAAAATTAAAACAAATCAACTAGCAGAAAAAATAACCTCAGAGAAAGGCATGCACAACACACAGTACCTCACTTATCATCTGGGAAGGTATGAGACCAAGAGAATCCCAAGCAAACTCCACTGCTTCCCTTGCCCTTCTTGCAGGCAGGCATGGGCAATGGGAGCCATCTCAGGGATGCTCTCACATAGCTCCAGCTCACTGCTCTGTGTGGTGCACTAACCACATGTCTCAGGTGGTTTACTCCTTCCAGATCCTTGCTGAGTCTTGCTCTGAAGCCAGGCATGGTTACACTGATTCTTAAATTCTCCACTGCTGCCAAGCTGCACAAAAAGAAACAGCATAGCTAGAGTGGTTGGTTCCTGGATCTGAATCAGGGGGCTGATCAGCTTGACAGCCTTGATAAGCCAGGAGGCTTGACAGAAATCTAAATTTTGGAGAATTTTATTACATGTCAGCATCAGTTTTGAGTGAAATCAAAACAAAATCAAAACAAGAAGCAAAAAGCAAGAGCAGAAATGTCTAAGAAAAGGCAAGAAGGAAGGAGGGGTCTTTGATGTTGCAGCAGGTTGTACAGTACTGTACTGTAATATGGTGAAAACAACCATACCAAGACTTGCACAACAGTACTGCTAAGCATTCCTTTGATTTTAAATGCACATTTTCTTGACATAAGGAAAACAGAAGTGTGCACCAGAAGCTAGGTATACACTTAAGAGCTTTACACCGTGTTGGCATCCATTAAAAATATTTAGTCCATAACAAAGCAATCCTAAAGAAAAATGTGTACTGACCCACTATAGAAAGATCACCAAGATTAAAGAACAAAAAGCAAGATATATATAAAAGTTAAAAAGAAGAAGCACATATTCAGAAAGAGGAATAAATTAAGAGGAAGAGGAAAAGCAAGGAAGAAGAACTCTGCTTTAGCAAATTATTCCACCCAGGACACCCACCCACATATTCTTGAATATAACTGAGCTATTATTTATATGCTCATATGACTAATTTTCCCCCTTTCTAATGTATTTATAACCCAGACATAAAATGAAGCCAAATTTTTTGTTTATCTTGGAAAAATTTTGCCCTTTGCTAGTGAAGTTTTTCAGTACAAGGGTAAAAAGTAGATCTTAATCTCTCTGATTTTAGTTCCCAGGCCTTAGGAAGGAAATTTAGGTCAGACTCAATGCAGTAGAAAGACTCTGTCTAGTATCAGTCTTCTCTTAATGTCTTGAGCACAGAGCAGTGATGGAGTAAGCAAATGCCTACACAATGGCTGGTTCAAAATACAAAAAATGCTTGCTTTTTTTCTCCCCTTCTTTATTTGTAGAGCTGTGTTCATGTGCCTTTCTGTAGTACTTTGTTTTACTTTTAACATCAGCAAATTTGAAGACCCTGGGAAGAAATCAGGGAAATGCTGGGGAACATTCTTTTGACAGTAATTTTACCTGCATACTTCATGTTAAACTAAAAAAAAAAAAATTGCTTTTTCATGGTTTTTTTTAATGAAAGGCTGAAGCACTTAGTCACGTTCAAAATTTGGTGTCATGTCCCTCTTCCTCCTTTGGATTTGAAAGCATAATCTTGAATTTGCATGGGAGGCATCAGAAGAGGAAAAGAAGGCAGGACTTCTATCTAATTTTATCTGGAGCCTCTTGACAGTGTTTTAGCAACCCTCTCTAGACATTTCAGTTGCTCAGTGGTGCCTCTTCTGACCCTCTAACTGACTAGACCCTGATCATCATTCTGTTTTTAGTCACTTTTTGACAGGATCCCTATGAAGGCACCCCTTTAGCTGTCAAGGTAGTAGTCCCACTGCCTTCAAGACTTCCTTGGGCATCTCAGAGGTAGGGAAAAGTGCAGTTACATGGGAGCATTTTTTTCCAGACAAAGTGTAACTAAGTTGGCAAAGAGCTCTGACAAGTAGCTTTTACATAACCAGAGAGGAAAACTTGTATTTTCTTACCAAGCTTAGACCAGATGCTTGGACATCTTTGTGTAGGTATGACTAAGTCTCTATGACCTTCTCTTCAAACTTATCCTAGCTTGCTGCTGAATCCTGTTTTCCATTTCTTCTTTCATTTCTCTTTTGGCAAAGTTTGCAGACTCCAGCATCCTTCCTCCTACCAACACCCCTGTACTCCCTGTCCCATGACTGCATAGAACCCTGGTAAATTTGTGTGTTACTCTTTGCCTGACTACCCTGCCTCCACCCAGATAGAAGACCAGCCTGCATCAGCTACTTCTCTAACGATCCTACAACTTTTGTTTTTTGCCTTATTTGGCTCCACTTAACCCCACCATGTGGACTAGAAGCCCCCACATATGGGGACAAAAAGGTACTGTATGGTAGTAAGGACAAAAAAATACAAAACAGGTGTTTGAAAGTCCTCCATTAGTTGATCAGTATAAATGGATCTAGCTGTGCAACTGTCTTCTCAATTGCAGTGTATGTACATTTAAAAGAATAGCAGAAATCTCCTGTTTGGACTTTCCTCTGTGCCATGATAATATCTTGAGGACTTTAGATCTGTATCTTGTCGAAATAATAATCTTTATTCCATATTCTGTTTTTATAGTTTTCACTGCTTACATACACACAGTACTGTTAAGCAGGAACATGATTCTCTCTGCAATGTTTTGTGTGTGTGTTGCTGGGAGGATTCAATTTTTCATGCTTGGCTAGTGTTAGTCAGAAAAAGCCCCAAAATGTATATTTTATATAGATGTATTTGAATTCAGTATTTAATGTTTCTAGAGATGAGACAAAAAACATTTAATCCTTGAAGATAAACACTTGCCTCATTCAATTAAATAGCATACTCCACACTGGACTGCAGGAAATACTGTTCATAGAATAAACATTATATTGAGCTCAGGTTTTCTACCATTTTACCAGACTAGACTTTCTTACATTACATAAACTAATGGTGAATGGAAATAAATTCAACTGTTTGTGGAATAAATGCTTGAAGATTTGGAACACGGATTTTATTAATAAATCCCCAAAACTATATTAAAACCTGTGTGACTGCAGGAGGATTAATTGTAAGCTCCCTACAGGTCAAACTTGGAGAGTGATGCATTTGAGCCAAATACAACTTCAGTTTTTTATATGATGCACTTTCTACACTTTCTACACATTTTAACTTTGAAAGAATCAATACAAGCAAGCAGTGAGGGACTATCACATGAAAGCAGAGACAGCTAAGATCCTTTACTCCCAATATCTTGGCTAATGTATGTCACAGAATCAAGGTTAGGGTTGGAAAGGACCTCTGGAGATTATTTAGTCCAAGACCCCTGCCAAGGCACCAGTGAAAAGAGTCTGACCTCATCCTCTGGGCACCTACCCTGGAGATATTTACATGTATTGCTGAGATCCCCTCTCTGTCTTCTCCAGACTAAACATGCCCAGCTCCTTCAGTCTCTCCTCACAAGAGAGGTGCTCCCGACCCAAAACAACCACTGTGGCCTCCACTGGACCCTCCACAGTAGCTCCTTGTCTTTCTCGTACTGAGGAGCCCCGAACTGGACACAGCACTCCAGATGTGCCTCACCAGAGCAGAGGGGGACAATCACCTCCTCTGACTTGCTGGCCACACTTTTCTTGATGCTCCCAGGGTCCCACTGGCCCTGCTGGTTGCAAGGGCACTGCTGGCCCATGGACAACTTGTTGTCCACCGGGACCCCCAGGTTCTTCTCCACAGAGCTGCTTTCCAGCAGCTCAGCCCCAGCCTGTGCAGGTGCCTGGGGCTGCTCCTCCCCAGGTGAGACCCTAAACTTGTCCTTGTTGAACCCCATCAGGTTTCTCTCTGCCCAACTCTCCAGCCTATCAAGGTCCCTCTGAGTGGCAGCAAAGCCTTCAGGTGTGTCAGCCACTCCCCCAGTTTCACGTCATCTGCCAGCTGGCTTAGGGTTCATGCTATCCCTTCATCTGAGTTGTTGATAAACAAGCTGAGTAAAGATGAACTTAATTTCTTTTACATGCTTGGTGACAACCTCCAGAATGATCTGTTCCATCCCCTTTCCAGGGATGGAGGTGAGGCTGACTGGGTTGTAGCCTCTCAGTCCTTCTTCTTTCCCCTTTGAAGATGGGAGTATCATTGGCTTTCCTCCAGTTATTAGGCACCTCTCCCACTCCGTGATTTTTTAAAGATAATGGAGACTGGCTTAGCAACATCTGCCAGCTCCCTCAGCACACATGGGTGCATCTCATCAGGCCTGTAGATTTATGGGTGTTTAATCTGCGTAGCTGATCTCTAACCCAACCCTCTACAAACAAGTCTTCCATTCTCCAGCCTTTTTCTGTTACCTCTGATGTGTGGGATTCCTGAGGGCTGTTCTCAGCAGTAAAGACTGAAGCAAAGAAGGCATTCAGTAATTCTACCTTCTCTGTGTCTTCCAACACCAGGACACCCATCTGATTCAGCAGCAGCCCCACATTTTCTCTCTTCCTCCTTTTGCTGTTGATATACTTGTAGAAACCCTTCTTGTTGTCTTTGATATCCCTTGCCAGACTCAATTCCAAGTGGGCCTTGGCCTTCCTTGACACATCCCTGTGTACTCTGAAGATGTACCTACCATACTTCCACATGGCTTGTCCTTTTCTCTGCATCCTATAAAATTTTTCCATTTGAGATTTGCTGGGAGCTCCCTGCTCACCCATGTAGGTCTCATGCCTCCTTTGCTTGATTTCTTGCTCATGGGGATTCATCAGTCTTAAACTTGGAGGAAATGATGCTTGAACATTGACCAACTCTCTTGGATCCTGTTCTCTTCTAGATCTGTAGCTGATCTGATCCCTCCAAATAGGTCCTTGAAGAGGTCAAAGCTAGCTCTCCAGAAATTTATGGTTCTAGTCCTGCTTGCTGCTTTGCTTCTTCCATACAGGATCCTGAATTTCCCCATGTCAGTGAAGCCAAGGCTGTATCCAACCTCCACATCTTCAATCACTCATGAGCAAGTGAAATGTCTTGACATGTGGGAACACCTAAATCACTGATATAGCACTCAACACAGGGATTTCAGGTGCTGCTTTGGGGAAAACATTGTACAGCTCTCTGCCTCAACAAAAGATGACTGCAAAGTGACAGTAGCTATGTCAGAAAACATTTAATGGATGCAAAACTTAGAAAGGAATAGCTTGACCCAGGACCAAGAGTAACCACACACTTCTTTTAAAGATTGACACAGAGTAAAACACATGGCAAGGAAAGTTATGTGAACAATATTTCTGTTCTCTTTACCAAAGCATTTTCATTGATTTTTGTAACTTCAATTCCATGCCATCTTCTCCTGTAGAAGAAAACCTGTTAATCCTACTGTCACCAGGTACAGAGGTGTGAAGTGTAGTAAAGCAGAATAGACAGGCATACAGCTCTTTAGTATATGCAAGCTGACTGGAAACATAGCTACGTTCCTGTTACCTCTGCTGAATTAACCACAGAGTACAAACCTCAGAATAAATCTTCCATAAAGAAATGAAAATCCAGTTTAAAACTCTGAGCAACTGGAAGCAACAAGACTTAACAGAGAGGAGAAGATGACCCTGATCAGTATTTGGTTGTGTGAAAAAGTAATGAAAGAACGATCCTTGCTCTTTAACAATGTTTAGACAAATTCACAAATGAAGGGGAGCGTAAACAAGTAAACACTGTATCATTTACTTGCAGTATTTATCAGCACCTTTCACATTTGTTGAAAAACAGTGAGGGGAAAGAGAGAGGAAGGGGGGGAGTCAGTAAGAGAGCTTTCCTAGTAAGTCACTACCCTGAAGACTGAGTACTGAAGATAAGCTAGTCACTGCTGTGCAGTACAGGGATATCATGAATACTCACCCTCCCAACCTTGTGAAGCAGAGACAGTGCCCTTCTTATTCAGTCACAGCCCAGCTAGGTCAGAGTTCCTCTACTTCTTACCAAATCCAATCCAATTCTTACCAGACATACTGTACTGGACTACTACTAACCCCAGATATTCTTCTTCTCCCTCAAGAATCATGAGGAAAACCCCATTTTCTTTAAAAGCATGAACAATGAAACAGTAAACTCAGGAATCTGATCCTTTTTCTCTTCTTTTTTTTCACAAATTTCAACTGACAGGCAGTGTTTCTAGGATCAGAGGGTTTTTGTCTTTGAAAAATGCCTCAGAATAAAACTGGGGGTGAAAATGTCCTTTTACAGCATTACCAAGAATATTCCCAAGGATACGCATGGGAAGCCTTGCAGGTGGGCCAGCAGTCTGGCATTGTAACATCCCTGTGGATGTTAGAAGTCCTGTTGATATGAGAAGAACAGACTGCCAGTCTCCTTTGCTGGACTTGTCATCACATCTCTGCTCAGTTATTATACAGCACATGTGTGGTAATGTACACACACACGTACATCCAGATACACAGGTTTTTAAATTTCCTGATGGCTACAGCCAAAGAAAACTTCCAGTAGCTCTGCACAAGCTCTTCATGTTGTACAGAGCTGCTAGCTGGTTGCTTCAGATATTTTGAGCAATTTCTGCTCTCTTGGTAAATGGCAGAGTCAAGTGGACAGGTCTAGAAGCCTTTGCTTCTCCTGGAGAGATCAATCCTTGACTACTGCTCCCTACAAGACCTCCTTTGTACATTTCCCACAGGAAGAAAAGGAGCTCTGAGCCTGGGCTATTTCCACAGAGCTGTGGGTAGGCTTCATGTCTCTCTCTGACATATGCTGAAAATGACCCTTACACATTATCAGTTCCTGGGAAACTTGTTTGTCTCTTTCAGAGGCCCCATGGTGAGCAGATAAGTTGCTGAGAGCTAGAAGGGGGGAAAATTCCCAAAGAACACATCTAGAGCTGTCTGAGAGCTGTAAAAATAGCTAAAGTGGCAGTTGCTCTTTTTAATAGTGGCAGTGTACTATTGCCAGCACTGGGCAGTGCCAGCACCGGGAAAACCACAGCCTCTGAAGATAGGCCCTTCCCCTTCCGGGTGGGGCGGTATGGAGCAGCTAGCACCAGCAGACAGACTTGGCAACCTATGGCTTTGGAAGATACAGCAACTTGAAAGCAGTAGAGGGCTAGGAAAAGATGGTATGCAAATGAAATGAGTGGGCAGTGAGGAGTTACTCACTGTATCCTTGTCATGTCACCCACCTTCCCAAATATATCTTGTCCCCTGCACCTAGCGTACAAATAAATGCTTAGCTCTTTCCAGTGCCTTCCTGACCTCTCTCTCCTTTGTGATCTCAATCCAACTCACTTACATCTTCCAGTTCGCTGTTTCTTTTCTGCAGAAGCTCTCCCAGAATGAGGCACATGGGGAAAACCAGAGAGGAGTAAAGAGCAAGATCTACAAATACCTGTCAAAGCGCCCATGATAATCTCTTCTCACATGGAAATGAAACCTTCCTTTGCTTCCAGGGGAAAACAAGGCTTGAAGTCTCTGAGATCAGCAGCCTGCAGTACTACTCCATCTAAAATCATGACATATACATATAATCCACATGAATATACATATGCATATTTATGTATATTTGCATACCGACTCGTCTAAACTCCATTCTCTGCTTAGCTTTTCACTTGTTACAGATGCTGCCTGACAGCCACTGTAAAGTAGCCCACCATGAGACTAACATGAGATCGGAATTAAACAATGGAGAAAGGTTACTTTCGGACAAATTCCTACTGCACTTCCAGGGTGGCTATTTGCATGTGACAGCTCCTTGTGCAGGAGGGAACACAAGGTTTGGTGCTGAAGGAAGATGCTAGGCTGTTTTGAGCACTTGACTTCAGAAGTAACATTTCTGAAAGGATTGCTTTGGCTATGGACCCAGGAAGGCTGAAAGAATAATTTCTGACCAAGCTTAAAATACTTTTTTTCTTTTCTCTAAGATACTGCCAGTTAAGATAGGTTTGGATTGGCATATTATTTTCAGGTTTTCACTTCATTTTGTTACCTAGGTTCTTGTGGGCTCACACCTTCCTGAAGCTTGCATGTCCAACAACCATTAATGGGTTTTATTCTCAATACAGTGTATTTGAGTAGTGCAAAGCAGAGATAGTGGGGTAAATTAAATGACTCACCTACACAGACCATGGATGGTTCAGAAAGTGTAAGCAGGTTTCTTAGAGCTCATAAACATTAATTCATTAGCCTCTTTCTTGTCTGGCTCTTCAAATGTTCTTAAGAGAAGAAAAGAATTTTGCAGTCACTTCAGATCCAACCAAGTATGTCAAAACCTGGGATCTCTGTATAAAGGTATAATGGTAAAAACCAGCTTACTTTCAAGAGAAAGTTGAGTCTTGGGAAAGAGAAGGGAACAGAGTGGGAAACACCCTTGTTTGACAGACCTGTTTTACCCATTTTTTTCACTCTGGGTGACTACATGATTTCCTGGAGTCATTAACACAGGATCTGAAAGTCTGAACCCTGCAGTGTTGAGGAGAGCAGAAAAGCATATCTACAGTGTTTTGATGTAATTTCTGAACGAAATTTAGCCTTAATCCTTGGGCAGGTGCTTTGGTCTTCTTCCTATTTCTTTCCAGTCCTTGCTGCACTGTTTCAGGTCAACAGTTCTGCAGTGAGACCTTGGGTCTCAAGACTGCCACAGCAGTCCTAGGGGGTAGAGAAAAGGTTCTGCAAGTTCTTTATGAGTGCCTTTTCACAGTGTCATTCCCAGCCATGCTGCTGCTATGTGAGGAGCTCTTGTCTCGAAAATGTTTCAGCACACTCTCAAAAAAACCCCAGATATATTATTCTGATCCTACTTTCCACAATACACAATATCTATGCCATGTGGCCAACAAATGTAGCAGGTTCACCAAGCAGCGGTCTGGAATGTACCCTGGTGTGCTGAGGATACTTGTGGCAACTTTCCCTCTTTACAGCTACAGTCCAGATGGTGACAGCAATGCATCGTTGATTTAACCAAAATCTGAAGACAAAATACAGGATGTATTCCACAAAAAATGTAGTTTAAAGGTGGGACACCTTAACAAAACAATTTTAGATGCCAGAAGACTATGTGGCTCAGCAATGATCAGATATCACTTCTGATGAAAAGTCTATCTAGGCCTGTCATGTAAAGCAATACTGCCTGTAGTACTGGAAATATCTGGGCATCATATGACTAGAGGATGGGAAATCATCTTGTAGAATCTTGGCTACATTTGCTTTTTTCTGCAGGTGCTTGGTCTTATCAATGTCAGAGAAGGACTACCAGCTGGTAAAACTCTAGCCTGATCTAGACATTATCATATATTCTAGCTGATAGTCCTATTTACATATTATTCACCTTTCACATTAGAACAATTCTAGTACACTTAAACAAGGTTTATTTGATGTCTTGGTTCTTAGGTTTACCCTAAGGAGTTGGTTAAAATCAATTGTGTGTAAATTTTCTCTGCTCATTGGGCTTAGAAGAGGGTGGTAGGTGAGTCCTTGGATATTTTTTTCTTTTCTTTGTTGAAAACCTGAGGTTTCCCAGAGAATAGATACACAAATAGTAACTTCGATTTTCTGTTCCAGCAAGTTACGTAATTTTTGCTCAAACAGAAATTCAAAATTCTCAGTAGTGACAGTGAGGATTTCAGTTTAAAAAATGAAGGCTTCTGGATAAACCATGAAGTGATTATTTTGTATCTAGTGTATACATCAACTGTATGCAGGTACAAAGTATGTTAAATGATACTATCTATTGCTAAACTGTTTATACTGAAGGCCAAGGTACACAGTCCTTGAATGTTCATTTGTTAACATGTTGAGCGAGGTAGATTTTAAGCAAAGGTTTTTCAATGGATCTTTGCTGGTTTTCTCTCTCTTGGTCCTACAAAGAAATTCAGTGTACCAAGATTCCCTGTGAGAGTCACTGTCTTACAGTGTAGACACAGCCCAAGTATCTTTCTTGGTAAACGAGTATTAATAGGATCTCAGATTTCAAGAGAGTGATGAGACAGACAGAGGCTAATTAGCAGTTTAGGAATGTCTTCACACTTGGTGGGTTTTGGCTTAATGGTTTCTCAGCTCATGAAAAGTTTTCTCATTTGTTCCATGCTGAGGGAATATTGCTCCTGAGGGAATGGAACTGTATTTCTGGAAGACCAATCATTACAACTCAAAGGCTGTACATTAAACTGATCCTTAGTGCCAAGTAACAGATGCTATCATGAGAGAGATGCCCTCTTCCCCTCTAATTCCACTGGGCAGAACTGCTGGGCCCTGTGAAGGTGTATGGATAATATAATGTACAGCAGCCTAGTAGCAGGCCACATGATAAACTGGCATTCATAATACAGCATCTTGCTATTTCCTTAGGTTTCACAGATTATTCTGTGCTTCTGATTTCCTCTTCCCCTATGCTAGAGAAGGAAGGTGCTCTGATGACAGATAGGATGTTGTGTCAGAAGAACATAAATTCAGACAGCATGAATTTCTCCCACTCTGCAAGTAGCATCTGGGGTTGCCCAAACAGATGACTTTCCCCCCTCTGTTTCTCTCCTGACTAGGCAAGGACCACAGACAATCATGCTTAAGAATTAGCAGTCCTCATTAAAGGACCGTGAATAGAGGTACCTGGAAACTTCAGGAGAGCACATCCAGGCAAGCACAGGTAGTACTGGTTAATTGCACCAAACCAGAACCGGCATGTGTGACTGCTGTGTGTACTCCTGCAAAACATGTACTTCACTGGGTCACCTGTTTTCTGCAAGGCTTTCCAGAGACGTTGCAATTGCAAAAAGACAGGCCAGCTGCCCTCTGACATAGAAAAGCAAACGTATGTTAGTGGCTCTTTGTGTATACTCAACTGCTCTGCTCTCTGTGTCCCTATTTCACTCCTGGGCTTAAGCCCTCACTGATCATGGTGCATACATTTGATGTAGCTTCTGGACTTCTCTCTGAAAATAAGCTGTTGAGAGCACAGTTTGTTCTAAATTGTGTATACGGCATTACACTGTACTGCCCATACCTGAGAGTCCTACAGCTTTGTCTCAGCAGGACTTGCATGCTCAAATGCCTCTTGCTCCCCCTCAAGTGTACTTACCTCACAGTATGGCATTGTCATGGTGATCTGCAAAAAGTGCCTTCTTGACACAGAAAAGGAATGACTGTCCCAGAACAAATACAGCAGAAATAACAAAACAATTGCTTGAAAAGCCCCGAGGATAAGGTCTCTCAATATATGTTGTGAATTAAGCTATTCCACACAGAAAGTACTGAATCTGCACCAGCTAGGGACTGGTTTGGAGCCCATGTCCTATCCTTGCTTGTAAAGGCAGCATGAACGGAACCAGCTTAAGGTAGAAGGGAAGTAGTCAAAGCGGCTTTTCCCCCTGGACTGTCAATTTTCTGGTACACCTCTGTTCTGTGAATCCATTTTTGTTCCCTGAGAAGAGTGTACTCTGGCATTTATTTATCTGTCATGAATTATCTCAGAGCAATGAAGCAGAGTAGAAGAATGCTGGGTTCAGCACAAAGAGAGAACTAAGGCTGTGGTACATTCACAAGACCTTCAAGGGACCCATAGAGCAGAAACAAATGAGACAGAAGCTGGGAATCAGAAGGTAGAAAATTTGAGATGTTAGGCATGGTATAAATGCCACTTAGAAGAACCCTTATCCACTCCTTGATCATTCACTTTATTCAACTGAAGGGTTCATGGAATCAGATTAGTTCCTGTGATTACTTTTGTTGTTACAATTGAATTTATCACATACCTAGACCCCTTGGCAGCACCATGGCATGAATCAGTTCTCACAGCTGCCTAACAACAAGGAACATGGGCAATTTTTCTTCGACCTGTCATATTTTTCTTGCTAACTTGTTTTGATGCCATTCCCTAATGGACCAATACTGGTAAATTAGAAATTCCTGCCTATAGCAAACCTTTTCTTATTGAAAGACATGAAAAGAACAAAATGCTGAGGTTTTATTATTATTCTCCTTTCTGGTTCCAGCACACCTGATCTATCCAGTCGAGTAGGGGACAGCAAACTGCTCATAAGCGAAGTTATAAAATTCTCAGAGAATTCTGGAAGTAGTTCATGCCGGAGGGCCAAGTTAGTGGACTGTAGAATTCTGCAAAATGCAGACAAGGTATGAAGTGCCAACAGACTTAGCTGTCCACTTTTCTCCATCTAGTTTTTTATAATTTCCAGCTGTTAAGGATGCTGAATCAGACCAAAATTCTTCTATATTCATGGCTGTCCCTTTTCCCAGAAGTAAGCTAGTCAATGTTGCACTGGTGGGTTTGCATCTGCACTCTTTCATGGTTTGTTCCCTATAAAGACATCTGGGAAGTGTAGGAAGAGTGGCACTGCACCAAAGGAATATGAACAGAAGTGGTGATTTATTACTTTTCCATATAAGGGTAATCAGAGAAGCTGGCAGATTGACATTGGTCTTTGGGAAAGGCACAGAACTGGAGCGGATAGTGGGAGGAAGCCTGCCCTATTATCCAGTCACTCTTCTGAAATCCTGTGACAGGACTGCACTCATCCACTGTGAGCAGCTCAGCCCAAAACAGAGACCTCATGATATCCACAAGACTATTCTCCACACTCCTCTGAATGCAGAAGTTGTTCCTCCCACAGAGAAGTCCTCTTCTTTTTATTTGCCAGCCATGGATCTTGAAACCTACTCAGGTCTGAAAATGGGCCTCAGCCTTTGCAGCTAACAGGGCAGCTTCACAAGTGGATGGTGTGGGTTAGAAGTGTTCGCAGTATAGCTGCTGTACTCTGCACTTCTCCCCAGTCCTCTCCCCAGTCCCCCAGGCAATCTCTTACACCAAATCCTCAGGACAAAGCTTTCTGTTGTCTGAGGCCAGTACAAACAGCAGAATTCAAGTTTTTCCTTTTAGCCTGAAGAACTGATGTAGCACATAAAGGGTCAGAACTGGAAAAGATCCAAATCCAGCTCTCTGGAGCATCCTTAACACTGTGTCCTTCATGTTTCTTGGAGATGGAAGTGCCAGGCCATGCTAAGAAAGGAGGAAAACTGAAAATCATTGATCCTGAAGATAACCACTGCTGGTTTCTGCCGAGTTTCATTGTGGCGAAAGAGGTTTAGGTCTTTCCTAATTTTGGTCAGGCCACTGCATTTACAGAGAAATGCATGAAGAGATTTAAAGTAAGAGTTCCCTCTAGAGGAGTGAAGCAATAATGTACACATAATTCTGCATTCTGCTAGAGTCCAGGCTCCATATTCTTTACAGATACAGGCTGACAGTGGGAGAAATCCAATTATGAATTCCACTGCCCATGCACATGCAATAAAAATGAAACATCATCAGTTACACAGAAAAAAGCCAGCAGGTCCTTCTGAGTATTAGCAATGGAAACAGACAACAAAACCCTAAAGCTTCAAGTCTGACCCAGCCACAGTTGACACAATTCTGACACTAGAAAGGAAGAAAACCCTATTACTGGAAAAATGGTGAGAAACCCAGAAAATTATCTGACCCCGTTGTGCTTATATTGTGCATCCCTCCACTGCAGGGCTCAGCAGCTAAACATGAGAGAGAGTAAGATATCAAGGCAAAGAAAAGGGATTAGGTTGTGGTCAAAGTCAAACAGAAGAGCAATCACCTGAACAAATTTATTTGTATGGAGTAATTTTTGTCCCCAGGTCCTATCACCCACTATTTTTTCATTACTATTTATTCTGAGAAACTTAGTTTTGGGAAATATATTGTTTCATATTCTCTCTATACTGCAGAATGCTTTCTTTCTTAAGAAGTATTCAACAGTATGGAAAGGCTATACAGCTTCTATATGAGACATATTTTTTTTTCCTACTTTTTATTTGGGGCTCTGATCACAGTAGGAACACTGTGAAAACCAGCTGTGAAGAATTAAAGTTTCCTGTCTTAGCAATATATGTCCAGAAATCTCAAAAGCCATGGAATTAAGTTGTCTGATATTTAAACCAAACACATGTGAAGGCAGAAGTGACCAGCGAACTTGCACAGGGAAAGCAGACAACAAATGCCTAGCTGGGAAGAGAAGAAATAGTCTTGGAAGGAAGTTGTATTTCAGCAGACTGGTTTTTATAGAACCTTTTGTCGAGAGTTGTTTTGTTGTTATTTTTTCTTTTGTATCTATGGAATTTTTTTCCCGTAAATTGCTAGGAGGCTAACTATTGGGTACTTATGGGCATTTGAGAAAAACAGAAGCATGGCCAAACCCAGGGGAGAGGGAAGGGGAAACCTGGAGATTTGGACAGGCATAAAGATGTGGCTGGGGAGCTGCTGTGGCTCTTCTTCTGGATCATGGAGGAGGACAGGCAGGCTGTTGTTTATTGCGAGGAGAATTCCCTGTCACTGCAAGAGCCCAGTCCTGTAGTGCCTTGTCCTTTCTGTGGGTGAGCCTCTGCTCGTGAGAGCAGCCTCTGAACCGGCACCTTATTAAGAGCTACCTCACTAAACGAGGGACCGATCCCCGTCTGCTCGGCTGCCCGGGATCTTGAGCTCAGCTCTCCCTGCCCTGGTGGGAGCCGGGCCGTCGCTGTCCCGCTCCCGCCGCTTCTTCCGCGCTGCTCCGTGCTTTCGCTGCACTGCAGTCCCGAGCCCCTCCCTGCCGAGACATCTTGCGGTCCCAGCTCGGACCTTCCACGAGTCCTGCGGGGCCACCGGGCCCGGCTGTCCCAGGGGAGTTTGTGAAGCGAAGCCTCCCTCCCATCCCCTCCCGTCCGGGCCGAGCCGCCATCACCGCGTGTGGGCCCGGGCCGCCCCACAGCGCCCCCTGGCGGCCGTGCCCGGAGCTGCAGTGAGGGGAGAGCGGCCCGGAGGGGTCACTGGGGCCTGCTCTGTTTGGTGTGAGTGCCAGAGCTGCTGCTGTCTGCTTTATTGTACACACCAGTAAAGAACTGACATTCCTACCACCATAGCTTTGCCTGAGAGCCCCTCAATTGCAAAATTATAATCATTCAGAGGGAGGGGTTTTACATTTTCATTCCAAGGTGGGCTCCTGCCTTCCCTAGCAGACACGTGTCTTTCAAACCAACACAGTGGAGTAAGGTCTCCGGTTCCAGCTGGAACATGAGGCAGCTGCTGAGGAAAGACAGAGGCCTGTTAGAGAGGGTTGTCACAGCTGGAGATGCAGTTACAACTGGAGATTTGCTGTCCACAACTCTGGCAAAGACATGCTTCTGGGAGTGTAAACACCTCTTTTCTGCTCTGTGTAGGCAGAAAATCTCAATGTTTCCTGTTTAATGTTGCTCAATAATGTGCTACAGCACTTAAGTAGTGCCTTGTCTCCTGCTTTGCCATAAGCATGTAGGGCAACCCTGTGGAGATCCACCATGGGAGTGAAATGGGTGGCAGTGCCTCGAGGACTCCAGCACAGTGCAGCACTTCATGTTGTCACTTGCACTGAGATGCCTGCAGGTGATCGACCCTTTGGTGAACAGCAGCACGGGACACAGCTTTGGTTTACAAAGCACAGTCTGCTGTGTGAAGTGTATGAAAGATTAATATGTGGTGAACCACTTCAGCTGTGTGTGATTAGAAGCTGCATGCCTGGCAGGTCTGGGTGCACAGAGGACAGCCTGGGGAACCCCGGTGAGGACACTGGGGCTTATTTCCAAGGCTCTCAGTAGCAGACGGAGATGATTACCTTATGGGATGGGATGTGAAGAACACTTAAGGGAAAGTAGAGTTGTGATAAGGGATATGCAAGGATGAAACAAAATGGTAGTTATTATAGCAGTGGTGTTGAATTTTTCTGTTGTGGGGTAGGTTTTGCAGGGTGGGCTGTGCTGTAAATCCCATCTGCCCTTTCAACACATGTAGGCAGCATTTCTGAGCAAGCCAAAATTAATCCCTTTTATGAAAAACCCAGGAAAAAAAAAAAAAAAAAAAAGGAAATGCCAACCATGCAAAAACCCTCAAACCAAACCAAATCAAACCAAAACCAAACCCCAACTAGAAAAATCCGATCACCATAATCAAGATAGCTGTCTAACTGGAACCAATTGTTCAGCTACATATAAATTCAACAGCTGACTTCCAGTGGGCTTTCATTTCAACATCCTACTCAGAACGTTTTGCTAGGGGAGAGAAAGGGGAGCAGAAGCAAACAAAATGTATGTAGCCTTATTTGTACTGCTGACCTGTTTGAATCAAACCTGGAACAAAACAGAGGTTGCAGGTTATTCTGAGTTCCCATATGTCTTGGCTAAATATCCACTATGTCTCATGTACAAAGTTCCCAGGGCAGGCCTTTGCTACCACCTTGACTTTTTACACAATGCTTTTTACACTGCCTCCCATAACATCATCGCAGGTAAGCTCAGGAACTGTGGGTTAGGTGAACAGACAGTGAGCTGGATCAAGAACTGGCTGAAATGACAGAGCTCAGATGGTTGTGATCAGAGGAGTAGAATCCAATTGGAGGCCTGTAGTGGTGACATTCCACAGGGACCAATATTGGGTCCTGTCTTACTCAGCTTGTTTATCAACAACTCAGATGAAGGGATAGCATGAACCCTAAGCCAGCTGGCAGATGACATGAAACTGGGGGAGTGGCTGACACACCTGAAGGCTTTGCTGCCACTCAGAGGGACCTTGATAGGCTGGAGAGTTGGGCAGAGAGAAACCTGATGGGGTTCAACAAGGGCAAGTTTAGGGTCTCACCTGGGGAGGAGCAGCCCCAGGCACCTGCACAGGCTGGGGCTGAGCTGCTGGAAAGCAGCTCTGTGGAGAAGAACCTGGGGGTCCCGGTGGACAACAAGTTGTCCATGGGCCAGCAGTGCCCTTGCAACCAGCAGGGCCAGTGGGACCCTGGGAGCATCGAGAAAAGTGTGGCCAGCAGGTCAGGGGAGGTGATTGTCCCCCTCTGCTCTGGTGAGGCATATCTGGAGTTCTGTGTCCAGTTCAGGGCTCCTCAGTATGAGAAAGACAAGGAGCTACTGTGGAGGGTCCAGTGGAGAATCACTAAGATGATGAGGGGTCTGGAGCACCTCTCTTATGGGAAGAAAGAGAAACTATGAGAGCTGTGCCTGTTTAGTCTGGAGAAGAAAAGACTGAGAGGGATCTCATCAGTGCGTACAAATACCTTCAAGGCACATGCCCAGTGGTGCCAGACTCTCTTAGCAATGCCAGCAACAGAACAAGGGTTAATGGCTATAACCATAACACAAGAAATACCACCTCAACAGAAGGAGGGTGGTAGAGCACTGAAATAGGCTACCCAGGAAGGGTTGTGGAGTTACCCTCTCTGGAGATGTCAAAACCCACCTGGACATGTTCCTGTGGCTCCTGCTCAGGGTGATCCTGCCTTGGCAGGGGGACTGGGCTGGATGATCTTCTGAGGTCCCTTCCAACCCTAAAAATTCTGTGATTCTGTAAAGACTGAGCAGTCAGGACTTAGCTACTGTCCATTCCACATAGCAGCAGCCTGACCAGACCATGCACATGGGCTTTGGGCAAAGAGCAGATGTTGAAACATGGTTTTGCTAGTTTCTCTGGTCCTGGAACAACCTTATTTAAATGCAAAGTGAAGAAACTCCTACAAGTTCCTTCTTATGCACTAAAGAGACAGCCATCTGACAAATGTGCCTCAGTAGCAAAATTTTACTGGGTTTTTGATGAAGGCTCTTATCTACAACCATGGCCAACACCTGCAACTCTGCCTTAGCATCCTTGTGGTGGAGTCTGGACAGCTGCTGCCTGTTTTGATTCCTGAGTACAAGTGCAGGATAGAAATGAGTCACCCTTTCCATCTTTCCTCCACACTGCTGCATCTCTCAGGGTATGTGACACTGTCTGCACTGGATTCCCATCTCAGCAGAAAGGGAGCCAGGAGTGTCACACAGCCTGCCTGAGACTTGGACAGTGAATTGCGAGTGAATGTTTTTTCCTCTTCACTGAATGCTGTAGGGACATGACTGGGGGCTGTCTGCCACCCGAAGGGACACATTCTCCTAGCTCACAGATCAGCAGAGACAGACTGATAAAGGTCTGACTTTCCTTCTGCATTTTGTGGATAACTTATGTGGAGCCTGCTTGCTTGCCCTAGGGTGAATTTTGCAGAGCAAACATCACCGAAAGTATACCACGTGATATATACCACAGCTAGCAGACAGGTATAGACAAACAAGATATTTAAAGCCTGAAATTCAGATGATAAAATACCAGATGATTAGCAAAGTAATTTTACTCCATTTGTAACAAATGTACTCATTTGCATGAGGAGTGCAATGAACGTAGATTAGATGAAACAAAAGCGCAGAGATTGGGCAGTTTTCCTCTTTTATGCAAAGACTATAATTAGTCTGTATTTTGATATGTGATGGTTTGAAAATATCTTAGCTGAGTACAGAGCAAGTGTAACTTCCCTGGAAATGTTTCACCTGCTGTTAGATGCTTAAATTGAATTGCTGAATTCTTTTCATCATACCAATTAGATTATCTTACATTCTTACATGTGATGTGTCCAGTCCAAAATCTGTCTAAACATTCCCTGGAATGGGGTTTTTAACTGAACCTTGCTTATTCCCACTGAAATCGGGGGTGTTTTGTTCATAGTGCCAAGAGAGCCCTAACTTGCAAATCATTTCCAGTTGCCATCACTGAAATCTCTTACTTGCTTGATGCTGTATTGCTTGAGATGTATGAAGTACTCTTAGAAAATAAAGACTAAATCAGCTTAATTCTTCATTTGAAATGTCAGTGTCATGCTGCTTTTATGTAGGCATATGCATCTTGAGTATTATTTTCTGAGTGTAATTGCCTTAAGTGCTGTTGATCGTGAAAAGAGAATGGTGCTTTCTCTAATTCAAGGGTATCAAAGACCCAGATCCTGCAAATGCTTAAGCATGTGGAGATGGCCTTCTCAAGGGATGACACAGACATCCAGCCACTCTTGTGTTCAAGGCTGGGTCTGCATTTAGTAGACTGATACTAGGAGAGGCTCTCTGCATCTTATCCTTGAGCAGGGCTGGTCATTGGAGGGAGAGACTTGTCAGGAGAGAAGTGGTGAGAATAATTGCAGGCAGGAAAGGAGCAGTATAGATGGAGTGTTTGGAATCAGATGGAACATAGAAAACACCGTGAAGACAAATGAACAGAGGAAAAAGAGGAAGGCTGAAATATGTGAAACCAGTGTCAAGCAGTGATCCTTCAGCTTATTGGTGGATATGTGAAAAAGCTAGGTTGAAGTCTGTTCTCAAGGTGTTTCTTGAGGGCTTGTGACAAACTTCAATCCACTCTATTTCTGAACTTAAATGCAAGAAAACTAAAGGGGGCTTGAAAACATAGGCTGGACAAAATGACCAGTTCTGGAAAATAAGTCTGGCTTGAAGAACAGTACCATTTATAAGAACTGTCAACTAAAACTACCTGCTCTAATTAAGAACTCTCCTTCTCCATCTCATGGAATATTCATTCTGTTTCACACTGGATGATTTCTTGATGAGCAGCATCCCACAATATTAGAGTGCTGGTTTCTCACTATGTTTAGCCTTACCTGCTGACTAGTTACAAGAACTGAAAATGGTCAAATAAGAGTTTTTATGCTTCAGGCATTAGCTTGACCCTGTGTGAATACAAGTCACACAACTTTCTCAGACTGGCCTGAGAAGTGTGGCCTGGAAAATCATAAGGAGGAATCCAAACAGTCCTTGGAGAGGGAAAACAACCTCTGCAGGTGTTGTTTGGATCCTTGTTGTTTACTTGCAAGAAACAGTCAAGGC